GACCGGATATCGTTGTTGCTAATTATCATGGCAATACTTTAAGTGTAGTTCTTGGATATGGCAATGGCTCTTTTGCAAATCAAACGACATATTCAACTGGCACTTTCCCCAACTCTGTAGCTGTTGGTGATTTTAATAACGACACTCTATTGGATATTGCCGTTGCTAATTATGGTGACAACACTGTAAGTATCCTTCTCGGATATGGCAACGGTTCTTTCACGAATCAAACGATATATTCAACTGGCTCTTCCCCATACTCTATAGCTGTTAGTGATTTTAACAACGACACCCTATTGGATATCGTCGTCACTAATTGGGATGACAACACTATGAGTGTCCTTCTTGGATATGGTAATGGTGTTTTTACAAATCAAATGATCTATTCAACGGGCACTAGTCCTTCATCTGTAGCTGTTGGCGATTTTAATAATGACACCCGAATAGATATCGTCGTCTCTAATGCTAATGAGCAAAGTGTCAGTATATATCTGGGATATCCTAATGAAGGGTTTTTTAAGCAAATGAGACTCATAACTGGCGATGGATATCGCCCTAAGTCATTCGCCGTTGGAGATTTTAACAATGACGGTCAAATAGATATTGCAGTTGCAAATTCAGGCACTAACAACATCAGTATTTTTCTGAGACACGACAATGGTTCTTTCGGAAATCAAATGGCATATGCAACTGATTCCTCTCCGTGGTCAGTAGCCATTGGTGATTTCAACAACGACACCATACTTGATATTGTCGTCGCGAATCTTGGCAGTGACAATGTTGGTGTATTTCTTGGACGGGGCAATGGTTCGTTTTCAAGCCAGAAAACGTTTACGACCGGTTTAAACTCTCAACCAAACGCAGTTGCTGTTGAAGATTTCAACAACGACACCTGGGTAGACATTATTGTTGCTAATTATGGCACAAACAACATAGGTGTGTTGCTTGGGTATGGGAATGGCTCCTTCACAAGTGTTAAGCTTTTTTCGACCGGTTATGGATCTCTTCCATTCTCAATTTCTGTTAATGATTTAGACAATGATGGAAAATTGGATTTCGTCGTTGCCAACGAAGGTGCTGACAATTTAAACACTTTTTTACAGATCTGTTAATATTACCATTGCTGGTTTAAGCTTTTTTTTTCATTGATTCATTACTCCTAACTTCTACTTAGCGCTACTAATATTTCTTCTAACTATTTCTGTGTGTGAGTATATGTTGAGAATTGAAATATTTTACATGAAGATAAGAAATATCAAGTGAAGCTATGACAATACGTCTACATTTGACAAAGAATTTCGTCAGATGTATGACATGGATATGCCAAGCACACGATGATGTGTTTCGCTCTTGCTTAATGCTATCATCATAAGATTAGACAA